ATTTGAGTTGAAGATGCAAGACATGTCTGGAAAGAGAAAGGGAAGCTGGCCTAGCGGCAAGAATTTAACCAGCAGTAAAGTACGCTGAGCTATTGAAATTCCGGCCATAAAAGTTCTTTAATGTTCCACCTTCTTCGTCTGCACCACAGTTGACCATACACATGTAGGAGTCAATTGCATGCCTATTCGCCGAGGAGTTACCCTATATTATTTAATGGAATTTTAAGCTATTCCAAAGTTTACATACCCTTAACAAAATCTCAGAAAATATATATTGATACAACATTTTTCAATACGAAATTATTTAGTATAGTATTTTCCCTGTATAGCCACCACTTAATATTTTTTATAGTTTTCGTCTCAAGACCAAACTATCGTCCAACGCAACTGCTTGTAAACACGTGACGCTTTACGTGATATGCGTTCCATACCGTGTTTGGTACCCACACATCATTATTAATGCATTGCCCAAATGTACAGAAAGGGAAATGGGACTTCAGAGGGGTAAAAAAACGGATAAACTCCCCTTCAACCCCAACTGGCACTTGGCCTTTTAACCGATAATGCACAAATTTACAGGTGGGTGTCCAAAATACAAGATCTCCTTTACTAGTGAACTATATATTTTATTTTTTATATAGACAATCGGCTTAAATAGAGACTTGAGAGTAATACAATTGATTTTTCTCAAATTCGGATGATTTATCCTTAAGCTGCTTATTTTTCCCAATCATACTTAAGGCTGGATTTCCTCTCACCCTTTAAAAATGGTTCTTGTGCATTTCCAGCACCAGTTGCCCTAAAAGTTAGCCCATAATTTATAAAATATGATTTATGGAAGTACAAATTACTTTAATTTTTGTAAAAAAAAACCCAAACAAGCAATGAACATCCCTAGTAAAAACCATATTCGCAACCCAGAGCCCACTGGAGCACTTATGTTTCTGCACTGTGCTTTAGTTCATATAGTATGTATGTACATTGTACATGACCACAACAAAGGGGTGTGCAAGCCAAACGACAAGTACCAGCAACTGCACCACAAAATGTCCACTTTAATGAAAGTTTTCGCAGAAACTCTTTTGCACTGCTTACTAATGCATGCATATGCGGCACCCATAATTATCGAAGGCATGCAATGTGAATATTTGTCAGTTTAGCCCCACATACATAATTCCGCAACATATGTTTGTTGAAACAGCTTTGTGGGGGATGTATGTAGGGATCTATGGGGTTGAGGCTTTAGCCTATTCTTTTCTGATTGATTTTTATTGCATGTTTCGCTTGGACTCATGTGGGAAAGGCAATACAGCACGTTTAAAACGTTTAGAGATAGAAACATCTGGACCAAATCATGTAAAACTTAAGGCTGCGTTAAATTATTCTCTTACAAATGCTGTTATGATTACAAATAATATTATGTTGACTGAAAGAAAGTGTGTACCCAGTTCGGCATAGCAAAGTTTTCCCAGTTTGCTGCATTTCACAGAAGGAGCCTACGCGCTTCCAGTTCAATAAACTTTTGCGAACAACGTTTGCCTACATAGTTTGTGGCTCTGCCTATTTATACACTTCCAAAGGGTACAATTTTGTATAAAATCGGAAGGCATATAATAAAATATCTTTAGCACTATGCTATATGCCAGATCACCAGACGATTTGTCTTAAGACTTACAAGAATCTAAATTTTATATCATAGTTGCCCTATCTATCTAATTTAATATTTATATCCTACAAACAGCAAGCATTTAGTGTGTCAGCTCCTGTACCTAGACGCTTTTTTCTTTCCTTTTTACTATACCCTTTCTTTCGCTTCCTTTATATATAGAATTATATATAATAATAACGATTTTTCTTTACTGCACTTTGCAGTTGTATATACGAGTGCTGTGCGGCTACAACTGACGTTTATTAACTCGTTTTATATATGTAGGTCCTGGTCTGACAGTGTAAGTTTGTAAGTGCGGAAAAAGTTGTACTGCAGCGTTCCAGGCGACTTGTAAAGAAAAGGACACCAAGGAAGGCAGTCGAGTGATATGGAAGGTCCACTGACCGCTGTTGGTGGTGCGGCGGCAATGGCAATTGCTCTACGGCTGTTAACAAATCGATTCTCCATTGCCACTAGCCGCAAATTGCTGGCTTTTTTGCCCGCTTTGCAACAACTGAAAACTGAAAGAATTAACAACAAAAATAATAATAGTTGTAAAAGACGTAATTGCATAGAAGAGGGCTTCCGGTTAAAATTGTTTAAATTGCAGACATTTATTTTCGGTGCATATTCTGATTGAAACAACGGCCTTAAGCACATACATAGGTCCTTGCGGGATTAAAGGTATATTTTTACAAAACTTGGTCAAGTCAAAAATTATTGGATAAACTAGTATACCTTAAAAACTAATATTAAATAAAGTAGTCTTATTTTATAAACTAACTAATAACACTTACTACCTTAGGAGAATAGAGTTATGTACTTAATTCTATTCATTAAATTCGGCTTTAATTTATAGAAAAAGCCAGGAAACAATTTTGAGAAAAATAAAACACAAAAACAAGAGAAAAATGAAAACATACCTTCGCCATCAATAGTGTTATTAACCATTTTGTAAAGTTGTGTCCGTTGGAATGTTGTACGGAAAAAAATTTAGAAATATCACATAAAATCTCTGAAAAATACATGGTAAACAAAGGAACACAAAAAATTAATGTTTTTTTATTGTAAAAAAAAATAAATTAAATAAACAATTAAAATATACTTGTAACAAGAAAGGAATCTACATACATACATAACCTATATCAGATATCAGGTTAATATATAGTCATTGGAACCACCGACCAGTTTGAATAAATACCGCTAACATTGATTTCTTTATGGTGATTGAAACTAATGGCTAAGGGAGCCTCAACATGCCATAACTAAAATTTATTCTCTTCGTTCTTTTTTGTCTTTGTCCTCTTGCAAGCTTTGTAAAGTTCTATTGCATACCCTTATATGAAATATTAATTGTGAAATTACAGTTAAGGGGACGCATTGAAAAAGTAAATTAAATCAAATTAAAACCTTACAAAAGAAAGGGAGAATTAAAAGATGGGATAAACATATCTAATAATTGTTTTATTTAGTGCTATTATTTTGACTTCAACTGTAAGTACATATATGTACATAGTACATAAGTGCATACATGTGTGTATGTATTTTGCCACAAGCTGTGTCCCAGAATTGGCATGCCCTAAGTCTCCCCTGCTTTTGCCCTTACAGGAACAGGCTACATACATACATAATGATGTACATGTACATACATGTATGTATGACACATTTGTAAGCAAACAAAGCATCATTCCAATAAGAAAAGCAATAAAACCCACGCAGACACACACATTTTGTACGCACATCATTACAGCAAAAAAAAAAAAAAAAGAACAGTAAGAAAGTGCAAGGGCAAAAACCAGCAGAGACAAGAAGAACACCAAGTTACTGTTGTTTTGCAACTGCGCAGTGGGCGAAAAAAAGGGATCATGCACCGGCGCAAACCGGATTTAAACCATCACGTTTAAACAAACTTACCCACAAATAAAATGCTCTCACAGAAAGCTGACTGCAGTAACTATTGTTAATAACTAAATCGAACACGGGAACACAAATTTAAAAGTATTTATTTGCTCACAAATCGACAAATTAAGCAGATCTTCGGCCAGCGTTGCGATCGCGTCGATGAAAAATTCACAAATGCCAGGAAGCAACACAAAGCAGAAAGGAAAAAGCAGCGACGCAGCGATGTATCGTCCATATGTATGTATGTAATTACACTAAAGAAAAAGAAATACCAATTTAAGATTTTTGGTCCAAATATCGTGACCATTAAATAACGAAATTAACGTAAGCTTATTTTTCTCTTAATTTAATAGTGTCATTAAACATTTAAGATTTTTTAATCAATATTGAAACATTTTTTAAATTTAAATTTTTTGGTGTCAAGTCTTGATTTTTGTTATTTTCTCTTATGTGAAAAATTAAATTTAAAAACGAAAAAAAAATCTTGAACAGTGTATTTCTTCTTACATACTTATACATATACATACAAACGTCGCGGTCGGTGGACACCAGCTGTGCTTTGTTGTTGCTGGGAAGCTGCGCTTTCGATGTGGAAAATATAACAGCTGTCGATATGTTTGTTTGTTGCTGTTTGGCGGTTGCAATTCAAATGACAAATTTAAATTGAACGGCAGTTAGTCCACAAGCCGGTTCTGAGGCGCCGAAAGTAAAGCCAGGTCACCATAACCAATTGACTCATTTCTTTCTTCTCGGCTTGTTTTCTTTGTTGCGATTTATTATTAGCTCTACACTTGAAAGTATTTGTTGTTTTGTATTTTATTCATGGCGGATCGATCATGTACCTTTTTTATTACATTTTTCAATTTGAAATTTGAAATAATAAGAATAATAAGAATAATAAGAATAAAATTAATAAAAAAAAATGAAACAATTGAAATGGAAGTAAACACTTACTTGAAAATAAATAGGCTTAAAATCAAATTTCTGAAACCTTTACTTTAATCGGACAACAGATCAGTTATGGTTTTTTGATATGGGGGCTTATTTATAGTTTACTTATTAAATATTAAACTTGACTTTAACTTTAATCAAAGCCCTGATCCTTTACATCGATCAATTTCCTTACGTCATGAGTATTACAGTTTTTCTCAATGTCGTAAACTTATGTATAACAGTTTCTTTTTCCCAATTTCCTCACCCATTAGGGGTGGAAAAGTGCCGATATTTATTGGCGATACATCGATGATAAATAGTAAACTCTTTCATTAAGAAAAATGTTTAATTGTAGCAAGGAATAAATGAATACGGAATAAATAATACCATTGGAAACGTTAAAGAGTGCATCAAAATATATATATAACATTTATCAGAAACTGGGACGAAAAGAATGTCCCGATATATTTATTTGTTTGAAACAACTATCGATATTGATATTTTGGTCTATTTTCCCCATCTCTACTTAAGTGTACGTGGATTTTTAATTTCACGACCTAAAAACACAGACGGCACAGGTGCAACTGGAAGTCCTTTGAGTGGAGCAAGCGATGAGGACTAAACACTGAGCGACCCCCCCAGCAGTGCCCAGCCAGCGATAGCCGGACTTTGTCAGCGCCTCGACCCAATTAGATGTGCCTGCACCGCCGCAGACTGAGCTGATAAAAGTCGAGTCCCCGTCCGCTGTTCGTTCGGTCGATTGTCATCCATTATTGATAATAATGGCCCCCACCCGTCGCCGTGCCAGCGACGGCTTGCTGGCCCGTGTAAACTTCCCGCTGTATGCCGTCGATATGCTGACCAGCCGCCACATCCTGGTGGCCGGTGGTGGCGGCTCCAGCAAGACGGGCGTGGCGAACGGCTTTGTAAGGATAACTAAAAGCACTTGCTCGCCGGCCCTAATGTCTTAATCTTTTGCAGGAGATTTACGAGCTGTATCACAATGGCAGCCACTTCTGTGCGGAAGAGGTGCTGCGCCACGAGACCGGCGCCAATGTGGTGATGAACTTTGCCGTGAGTAACGGCGGCCGGAGAGGCTATCTGTGCGCCGGCCAAGAGGCTCACTGTCAGATGTACTATGTCCAGCCACGAGTCGAGTCCGAGGAGGATGGCAATGGAAATGGGATCGTGGACGGAAAGCCGGCGCCCACTGAACGGCCGCATGAAAACGGAAACGTGCGACAGCGCAACGTACACTCGGGTGTGGAACCAGTGGCCAATGGGCATAAACCGGCCGCCACCGCCGCTGAAATTCTGCGGCAGTTCCAGCGTCTACGCTTCGACATACAGGCGGCGGATGTGGTGCAAACGGATTTCCTAAAAAGCGCCGAGCCGTTGCAGCGAGTGGTCCGCATCAGCGGTAACGGGCGTCTAATGGCCACCGGCGGCACGGACGGAAAGCTGCGTGTTTGGACTTTCCCGCAAATGACCCTGGCCGCCGAGCTGGCGGCGCACACCAAGGAAATCGATGACCTGGATTTTAGTCCCGACAGCAAGCGCATCGCCAGCATCTCGAAGGACGGCCAGGGTCTGGTGTGGGATCTGGCCAGCGGAAAATTGCAGCACAAGCTACAGTGGCAAACACCCGAGGGGGCCAAGTACCTGTTTAAGCGCTGTCGCTATGGAACTGTTGAGGCACAAAAGGATCAATACCGCCTCTTCACCATCGCCAATCCATTGGGTAAAGTGGGACGGCAGCGGGGATTCCTGCAGCATTGGGACTGCGCCAGCGGCGAGCTGCGCCAGGCTGTGGCCATCGACGAGAGTCTATCGTCGCTGGCGGTCCGGGATGACGGGCGATTTGTGGCCGTTGGCACGATGTTCTCGGGCAGCGTCTCTATGTACATAGCATTCAGTTTACAGGTGAGCTTCAGACTTCAAAGTATAATCCTCTCGGGCATGACATTTCCGTTCTGTAGCGCGTGCTCCACATTCCCCATGCACACTCCATGTTCGTGACGGGTCTTCAGTTCCTGCCCATCACCAATGAGGAAGGACCGCCCATTAGCAGCGACACGGAGGCAGCGGTGCTGTCCATCTCGGTGGACAACAAAGTTTGCATCCACAGTTTGCCCCAAAGGCGTAAGTGAATAATCTGCAAAATTATTACCTGAAAAATATCTAATTCTCTTTTTCTGATATCCTGCAGGTACGATCCCCGCCTGGGTTGCCATTGCCTTCATTGTCATCATGATTTTCGCTGTGTTTGTGCTGTGCTCCTACGTTGGAATCTGATGTGGATGATGCAGCCTTGTCCCAGCAACAAGTTTTATCAATTTGCATTATTAGTTTGTAAACTTGGTTTAGTTTCTTTGTCTCCGCCCCACCCCCGACTTACTCATTTGTTAATTAATTTAAGGGTATTGTTTGCTGCCTTATCTCTTATACTAATTGCAATTATTGCTTAGTTGTACCATAATTTGCTTATCTCTCTATAGCCCCCCTAGGCCGCCTGTTGCGTGAATGAATCGTCATTTGTACATGATTTCCCTTTGCTTTCCCTTTCTGTTTAAATATATTGAAAATAAAGGACAGGACGTTCCGGTTCTTTAAGTCAGATTTAATATATGTAGAATCTTTTTTATAATAATAAAAAAAAGATTGTTACCAGAATAATGGGACAGTATAGTCAAAAATGAATGATTTATAAAGCAATCCCCACAAAGTAGATAATTGTATAATGAGGAATAAATGTAATGGGAAAAAATTATTTAATACATAATCAAAAAAAAAAAAAAAAGTGTGTGAAAGGCACAGCAAAGTGCCGTCTTATTTTTCTGGCAAAGTTAGAGCTTTCCAAAGGACAAGGACTACGACAAGATAATGCGGGATCTAGGGGATCGGGGCATCTTGTGCTGCTTGTTGGTGGGTTGGCTAATGATGTCAAGATGAGATGATCCAGAGATTCCTCCTAGACGTGTACAATTTTCAGAGGAATGCCCGTCGTCTGATCACGGCATTCGATTTGGAGGAAGCTTTTAAGGATGTGAGCTTAATAGACTTCATGTGTAACAGCTTAAAATTAAGGCTGAATAATTTTTTTATACCCTTGCATGGTATTATAATTTCAGTCAGAAGTTTGCAACGCAGTGAAGGAGACGTTTCCGACCCTATAAACCATATATATTCTTGATCAGCATTAACATGCGAATCTTTCTAGACATGTCCGGAAGAAATCGATTTTTGGCCATTTTTGCGAAATTTTTAAAGGGGTTACATCATTAAAATTAGCAAAAATTGCTACAAATTTTGATTTCTTAAAATTTTAAATTTGGTATGCAGTTTTTTTAAATGAATAAAAACTAACACAAAACTGCTTTCCGAATCGAAATTAATGCATTTTTGGCTTAGTTATGATATATTTTAATTGTTACCTGCAAGGGTATACAAACTTTGGCTGGCCAAAGTGTTTAAAAAGTGTTTAAACGGTTTTTAAATTATAAATTCTATATACCCAACAACGAATTAAAAGTAAATTATAGTTCGTTTTCCGAATTACCGATACCCACGAAATAATTCTTGTACATATGTAGAGATTATTACACTTTTTTTTATTTAATTTTATATTTCATTTGCATTTTTTCGTTCAATATTTGATGCTACAATTTAGGCCTAAATATTAACTTATATAATAACATAGCGTTTACAAAAAATTATTATTATTTCGACGCCTATGATTTTAATTGTTATCTTGTTGTTGCTTCTTGCTTATCAGTTCAATATTCTCCGTATTGTAAAATTTTTAAATTTATGATTACCGCTTCTGTTTTTGTTTTTTATTTTATATATTTTTACTTCTCAATGACTTGGTTGTTTAGTGTATGTTTCGTATATAAAATATAAAATGCTTATCAAATGGCGGATAGATGATGTTGTTGATGGTGGCGGGGAAGAGGAGGAAGTTTGGCGAGCAGGGTTCTCATTTCAGTAATAAATAAGTGTTATAGTTATCATATATGTATATATATTAAATGCCAATATGGCCTTACATACGTTATTTCATTATTATGCGCATTAATTAATGCACGTAGTGTATTATTGTGTACGGTTTACTGTTGGGTCTCCTTAAGTGATCATGTTGGTGATGCAAATGCTTAATACCCATTATAATGCCAATCGTTGCAATTTGACTAAAAGTGACAACACAGGGAATATACATTGGTATATCGTCCAAATGATAATGTTAAAATGTACAAGGTATAATTTCATTTTAAAAATCATAGATTTAACAAAAATCGATTCAAGAAAACTTGAGTTTTTCAATAAAAACATTAATTAGGGAGCACAAAGGTAATTTTTTAAAAACAAATTTTCTCTCTCTTTATAATACTTTTGGCATTTTTTCTTTTGCTGCTAAAAAATCCTCTTACTCTCACTCTCTATCTTTCTCTTTCTCTATAGGCCCCAACCTCGAACCTCGAAAGAAGTAACTAAAACTAATTTCAGTTAAAATTTGTTTGGACAGTCTTTATGCTGGTTGGGCGGATCGACCGGACCCATTTACGAGGCCTTTGCAAACTGGATAACGGAGCTCATCCTCATCACCTTGGACCCCGATCCGGTCCCGTCCCCTGCGCCGGCTGAATCGGTGATGCTGGACGAGGCGGTTATTGCCTCCTCCCCGCCAGATCCCAGCCCCTTGTCCATCGCCTCTCCCTGGCTGCCGCCATCGCCCTTGTTCATGTAGTGCTTGCGCTTGCGCAAGGGCAGGGTCATCACATTGCGATCGGCCATCATCAGCGAATCGCTCTCCGGCGAGGAACTTCTCTCGGGCGACTCCGTGCTTGACCGCAGTCCAATGGCAGCCTCCACGCGGCGCACAATGTCCGGATTGGGCAGGGCGGATCTGTAAGTGTATAAAATACGATAGTTTAGTAACGATGTTTCATATTCATTAATCTATTTCTGATAGAATCCTAGCAAGGTTCGTCCTTTTTTTTGTTTTGGTTTAGAAAATAAATCAATGTTCAACAACTTACTCGTACTTTGGCACCGGTGCGTATCCTTTGTGCAGTCCATGACGGGCTAGATCTCCCCTCTTGAAGTGCTCAATCAGCACGGTGGCCTCGTGGGTGTCATCGTAGTTGGCCGCCAGGTCGCTAACGTGAAGCGTGGGCTGCTGCTGAAGTGGCATCTCCTGCTCTTGCGGTTGGGGAGGCGAGGCCGCATGACCACGGCGCAGCTGCATCATTTGCCAGGCGGCGGCGTGCACGTCCTCATCTTGCACCTGATGCTCACCATTGTGATCGTGATGGCGACGCGCCATGTTAGCAGCCTCCAGCAGCGCTGGGTTGATTGTGAGACCAGGAGCAGCATGGGGCTGCAGCTCAAGTAGACTGGGCGGTTGCTCTTGATAATAGCTGGTCTTCACCTGGACCGGCGGCACCTGACTCTGGCCCTGTTGTTGCTGCATGCTGAGGTCCGTGGGCAGCTCCTCTTCGGCATAACTAATGTGAGCTGTGGGCTGGGCACTCGCCACTCCACTGTCCCGACTCCGAGCATCTGGTTCCACGTGCGCATTCAGATAATGGGCCGAGGTGGGCGGTGGTGAGGCCAGGCTGCTGGCCGATGGCGAGTACGTGGAGCTGAGGGAACTGGGCGAGAGTGGCGAAGAGGAGGCGTTGGCAGTAGCTGATGAGGCTGCTGCAGCAGCAGCAGCTGCTTTAGCTCCACGTGGCTGACGCGGCTGACGAGATTTTTTCGTGACCGGAGGAGATCCTGGAGGCGAGTTATTGCTGCTCTCCGAGTTGCTACTGATGCCCTGCGAGGATGGAGAACCGGCCGACGATGAGCCCGCTGATGCTGTGGCCGCTGCTGCCGCAGCTTCCACATCATCGTCGGGTATCTCGTTGGCGTGTCCCTTGATGTGGGCCTCCATCTCCTTCTTGTTCTTGAATGTCTCGTCACAGATGGTGCACTTGTAGCACTTGGAGCCGTAGTGCTGGACGCGGTGCAGCTTCAGCACATGGTTGTAGCCAAAGTCCCGAAAGCAGATGTCGCAATGGTAGGGCTTCTCGCCCGTGTGCGTGCGCGAGTGCACCTTGAGCTGCTTGGAGCAAGTGAAGCCCTTGCCGCAACCAGGCTCCGGGCACTTGTACGGCTTCTCGCCGGTGTGCGTGCGCATGTGGATCACCAGCTGGCCGGACTGGATGAATGTCTTCTCGCACACGGAGCACTTATGTGGCCGCTCGCCGGTATGGATGCGCATGTGGCGATGCAGCTTCCCGGAGTGCTCGAAGGCTCTTCCGCACACGTCGCACTTGTACGGACGCTCTTTGGTGTGGATACGCCGATGCACCTGCAGGTTCTCCTTTACGCTGAAGAGCTTGTGACAGAACTCGCACTCGAAGGGCCGTTCGCCGGTGTGGGTGCGGTAGTGGCGGATCTGGAGGGAAGGAGAAAGGAGTTAAGATATATAATTTCCTGGACAATAAAGTAACTGGGTGCTTAGGCACAAACTTACCAGCCTGGCGGGCACGGCAAAGGTCTTCTGGCATACATTGCACTGGTATGGATCGGCTCCGGCTGCCACATTGGCCAGCGGCTTGATGGTCGGGCTCTTGGGTATGCCCACCGGTAGACCCGCCTCGTTTAACTCAATGGCCGGGGAGGACGAGGACACGACGGCGCCACCCAAGCCGCCGTTTAACGACAGCTCTGCGTTCTTGGCGTGCGACTTGGTGTGCGAGGTGTGGGCCGACTTGCTGCCAAAGGTCATGCCACACTGCTCGCACTTGAACTGTGGCTTGTTGGCGGCAGGCTTGCGCTGTTGCGTCGTCGTTGCCGCCGTCGATGTGGCTGGGAATCCAGTGACCGGTGGCTCTGTCTTAATCCTCTGAGTCGCCGTTGGGGAAGCGGTCGTTGTAATACTTTCATGTTGCTGCTGTTGCTGCTGGATGGTCAGCTGGTAGCTGACGAATTGTTGCTGCTGCTCCTGGCGATGATGCTGCTGCTGCTGGAGCTGTAGTTGTCTCTGCTGCGGTGTCTGGAGGAGTTCATAGTGCTCCGGCTGGCCGCCCGAGGAGGCGACCATGCCCGGCGAGCTAGTTGTCATTGCCGTTAGCGGAGGCGGCACCTGGAGGCAGAATTGCGCCTGACTGGGCTGCTCCGTTTTTATGAGCAATTGATTAGCGGGATAGTAAACCATGTTGGTTGCGTCTGAATCTGAAATAGGGAGAGAAAATCCAACTTAATAATTCGATCTTAAGCAAAAATCTAACAATGTTGTAAAGGCTAATAATATCTTAAAGCAATTCTGCGGAAACCCTCGTAATGGTTACGTAACAAGACACCTTACCTGCCTCACAGGTAGGCCTGATCATGATCCTGCGTTGCAGAAAAATAAATATAACAAAATACAAACAGCTTAAAACCCCCCAGCAAACATCAAAAGTTAGATACGGGTGGTTGGGTGGAAAAGCCTCGGCCAAAGGGGTAGAGGGGGGAAAGAAAAACCCACCCCGGAATTTTTACTACTACGCACTTTCTGTTATTGCCGGCCGGAGTTTTTCCGAAACAAACTTGCGGGAGAGAAGCAATCGAGTTAAGGGCATAAGGGGAGGTAATTCATTGAGAGCTACGCTACGCAGTTTCTGAATTACAAAAATTTCCCATTTCGGGATTTTCACCCAACTCACCGAAGCTTTCCAACCGGCATTTCTTTTCCCTTCCCATTGAGCGCTCTCCCTCTCACTCTCTTCCTGCTTTACTCTCACACTTAAGCTGGCATAAACCCCCAAAAACCTCCCCCCAAAGCCCAATTTTCGTATACCAAAACAAAATGGCGTCAAGATAAGAGGGGGGGCCGACCAGGTTTGTATGGAGTTTTCCGGAAAAAAACATTCTCAGCTAGTTACCTTTCGCAGGCGGTTTCTTGGGAGCACCTTTAGTCTTGGTCTTGGATATATCCATCAGTTCAGTGCCGGATTTGTTGAGGACATCCTTAATCCATATTTGCTTGGACGTCCAAGTCTTGGTATTATTCCTACTCTCAGTCATCTTGTTTCGTTTGATAAACTCAATAATTTATCGTTTTGATTGATTAAAGTCCAGTTGTGATGGGAATTGTAAACATTTCCTCAAGTTTGTTGAGATCTTTTGTATCTAAAACTATATATACTAGGCTGCTTAATCGATTTGGATTGCAAAATCAGACTTTAGGAGAACTTTTTTCAGTGGTTGAGGTCTTCAGTCCTTGGAGTTATATACATCTATAGGCAGCAGTCTTAGAATTAATATTGATTCAGTTCTTAAATTTTATTGCTCGGAGGGCATTTAGACAAGAATTTTCATTTGACGAGTAATCTTCTCCTTGATCAGATTCTTTTTAATGATTTTGATGATTTTCTTCAAATCCTTTGACTGTTGCACGGGGTAGGTGTGCTGATAGGCCTGGATATTTTGCGGAGGCTGGTGACGATAATTCTGCTGATGGTTGTGGTATTGGTGGTGGTGACCGCATTGACCCGACCCTTTATTCATTCGCATTTTTCTAAACGATCTCAAGATATCGTTCATTGAGAAATCGGTCATTTTCGGGCGTACACACACACATCTATCCACGGACAACGCACAACACGATAAATTACACGAATCGCAGAGTTACGGAAAACTTTTACATCGCCGCCGCTCACGAGGTTCTATGTTCGATGGTGCAACGGAGACTGGTGGGTGAGTTGTCAAAAAATTGGCCTCAAACCCATGTAAGAGCTGGCGGCGGCAAGGGAAAACCAACCACCGTCAACAAGAATGTTTTTCCCACTCGATCTGAAAATTCCCTCAATGGGAAATTCCATTTGGAAAATGTTTGAGCTAATTTGTAAAAGGGATTTTTTCGAGTGACTTTCCGTTTGAGTAGTTTGAACTCTGGATAAGGGAACTTTTACCGTACACCATAAATTCCCTTTGTGGGGCAAAGCATTAGTTGGCAAAGAGTAAGCCGATTCTTATCAGTGTTATATTTGTAGCACTTTGTTAGTCATGACGAGTATGATATTTTAATCGACAAAAATATGAATAACATATATACATATGTATTATATATTGACAGTAGGCATTTCCGAACTAAAATAAATATCGCCAGTAATGCTTATAAGATAAGCTTCTATATTTTCAACTGACATTCCTAACCAAATATGGAGAGTTATTGATTTTCAAAGAAATTAATTGTAAAATATATTTATATATTCCTAAAATACATGATTCTCAACTTTAAACTATACCATACTATATAAAACAAAAGGGAAACACACAAATGTTAAAATACAATTTTTCCGTGAAGGCAAGTTCAAAAAACTTTTTCGGCTTGTGTTGTTATTGTTCCCGATGTTTATTCGTCAGAGCATTAAACTAGCACAAAAGTTCATTAACATTCGACACAAAAACTATTTCTGTGTGAGTGTTATTGTGAAGGCGAAGAAGTGAGAGCAGCGGATCCAATGTCTGCTTCGGACGCGTTCTCCTCCGGGGCTACCCAACTAAAAAGTTTCTGAAGGTATGGACGACGACGACGACAGACAACCCAAAATGAAATGTTTCGGGGGAAAACACATTTATCTATTATGAGGTCAAAAGCATGGCCGTGCTCCGCGCGCTCGGTCAATGATCGTGGTGATTTCCGAGAGCAGAGCACGACGGGTAAGTCGAATCACCGTTATTTTGTTGGGATAGCTCAGAAACGACTCTGAAACTGGTCTCTGGTAGAGTGGTTTGAGATCGAGATCATGTTTGGATAGATCAGTGAGGTTGCTTGGCGGGCCTTACTTAGTGAATATTAACCAATCTGTTCTTGGGAGTGTTTTTAGGATTATGTTATGGGTAGTGGGTCTGGGTAGTTGATCTGATTTGTAGCCAAAAAATATATGCGTATTCTTTTCATCTTCAACTTGTTACATAGACTTTCTGTTGGCAGTATTTTGTAATACCGGCTAAAACATCCTCCCCTGCCTATTTATAGACCATCAATCCACTTAAGCTTTCATAAACAACTCAATACACCTCCCATATCTCTTCCTCGCACTCAACTCTACTTTACCTTGCCCAGATCCATACAGATTTATATACATACATACATATGTAGTTCGATGGTGCTTTGGGTTCGGTGTTCGCTGTTGGCGTCTTCTTTCGTGGACTTTCTTGAGGGTCAATGAACATTTAAATATAAGCACAGTGTAAGCTTTCCTCCCTCTCTTTGTTGCATGTAAGATTTGATTATATTTCGGTGTTTTGGGCTCTAATATCTGAAGTGTACACCACCACAAACCAAATCAAAAATGGGCAAAGCCATTTTATTAGCTCAATCATTTCATGAAACAGCAATGCAGGCCACATTAAGTCAGAAATTTAAATAAATGTGACTATAGCATTTGTTTAATTTAAAAGCAGGAAGGCGTGTGGCTTACATTTAAAACACATTTAACCTGTGCGGATTTTCTAGTCCACTGTGAGCTTGGTGGAATGTGTCAACCTTTTATATTGTATGAAGGTTCAATTGGGCAGATAAACCTGATCAAGAATAAATCATTTTTGGGTCCCTTTCGGTATAATAGTACTTGCCAAAGCTTTTCAAGGCAGGAAACTCGAACAAGAACTATTAAAAGCGATAAGATACGTTTACCATTGAAAATAAAACGTGTGGGAAATTCCCTAAAGGCAGCCCATGATCTCAATTTCAGTTTAAGGAAAGGCAAATACTCCTCGGAAAATTCCGTTGCGATTTGAATTATATAATTATAAAATAAAAAAGCCAACTATATTCAAAATAGAACTGGTTTGCGAATTCTTTCGAATTCACTGTCTGTGCAGACTTGTAGAACTACTACTGCAATTCTGATATTTTGCAAATAACCATGAACCATCGTATTATTTCTCTTGGGTTCAATATTCCAAAAGCTATAGTTTGCTTTTTATATATGTACATACATATGTATGTATGTTTGTATAAATCTATATTGCGAAGGTCTAGACTCTAGACAAATCGTCCAAGCTCGTGCTGTTCTGCCGCTGCCGCTGCCGCAGCTGACGTCAACGTATACGCCAAGGAGCACGCACAATTTGCGTGGGGCGGCGGCGGTGCGGTTAGCCTAGGTCAAAAAGCGAAAAAGACGAAGCGCTGTCAGCGAGTTACAGTTGAGCGAGAACGCATACACACACACTCACACTGCTAATGACGCAGTTCTGGGTTCGGTGGCGGGTTGGGGGAATTTGGCAAAGTAGAGATACCGCGCGTGCAAATGATATAATACGTAAAGTACCAAATATGGCGTAATATTCCTAGCTTGTTTTGCGCTAGTTGGTGAAATTAAATACTTGCGGTAAAAACACTGTGAGTATTAAAGAGTCGTGTGCAGAAGCAGCAACCCCCATGACGTGTTTCCTTCTCTGGGAACATTAAATTCATACATACATACTGACATCTGTATGTACATAAATGGCGCAGCAAGAGCACCTTCCCTTTCGTTTGACATTCCACCCCCCACACCCACACTCGCTGTGGTGTTTTTGCTGCTGCTGCTGCACCAGTCACCGCTTACTCACTGCGGAGAGCAACTCATCGAGAGAGAGAGAGAGACTGTTTGAGAGAGAGGGTGGGTGGGTGGTGAGCGAGTCAGCACGCGCATTGATTGTGTGGCTGTCGAAAACCGAGGCACGGCCTCCTTATGGCAAGGCCTCGTATAGCAGCTCGATGAGGCTGTCAAAAACTCGTGCACGCCCTCCACGTGTAGTTCAAGTTCAAGACAACAATGAGAACGAGCGAATGCGCGAGTATGGGAGTGCAGCGCGGTCGCAGCCGCTGCCTGCGCTGGCGTTGCAGTTGACGGTGCAGTCGGAAATCGATGTGTGTATCTGTGTGCGCTTGCTTTCTGCCAATTTCGCATTGCATACTTTTTTCGAGCCCTTGAAGAGATTGCATTCAATCTGAGAGCCCTAACAAAAGGTTCAGAGTTACAACACGGCCAAATATGGCTCTTTTGCATTAATTACAATACCCCACGAGAAACGACAGCCATCGTTAAGCGGCAGCAGCAGCGACGTCGTCGACGGCGCGCAGAACAACCTCAATCCAACCGAAGGGTCAACGAACTACGAAAAAAAGCTCGCAACGATACTTTTCTCGAAAAGTGTAAAGAGAAGAAAGAAGAATTGAGTGCCTCTGTGTGTGTGTG